CTTGTGGATTCTTTATACCAGGGGTTGCACTCTGGGCTGCCACAAACACTGAGCAGCACACACACTGGCTTCTCCACCACAGGCACTTTCTCCAGAGATCTCAGAGGGTTTCTAATGAGCATAGCTCATTAAAGTGCTACGATAGCCTTGTGACCACACCCATTGTACAAACAAGAAAACTGAGGCAGAGAAGAATCTTTGCCATCATGGGTGTGGCCTGTTCTCAGAAGCCAGGCTGTTGCCTCCAGAGTGCGGGTTCAGTCATTCGTTCCTTCAACAGACACTTATTGAATGCCCACTCTGGGCCAGGCCCTGCCCCAAGGACTGGAGACACAGCAGTGAACTCAGCAGACAAAAACTCCTGCCTCATGGAGGTTACATTTGGGGGCTGGGGGCTTGAGGATTGACACTGAATAAAATCAAAATGTTAGATAATAGGTTAGAAGGTGATGAGTGCTACTGCAAATAGGAAAGTGGCAAAGGGAGAGAAATGGGTTGGGCTGTTGAGTTTTTATGCAGTGGCCAGGGATAAACTTGTGGAGAACGGGCCATGAATAAAGACAAAGGAGGTGGGAGCAAGCCACGTGGACTGCTGGGGGGGCTCCCTGACAGTGGACACGTGTAAAGGCCTGGGGATGGGAGGTGCCCAGTGTATGAGAAGTGTGGGAACACCGTCCTCAGCCCAGCCGTCTTCATTCCCCTCTTCATTCATTCATTTAGTCGCTGCCTGTTATCTGACTCCTGGGACAGCCTTGTAAGAATCTGGGTTTCTCTCAAGTTCATAATATAGAGTTGGAGAAGAGAGTGGAAAACTCTTTGTCCTGCTGTTATTCCAATACAGTGTTGAGCTGCCTGGCTCCAAACCCACGTAAACAATCTGTTGGGGATCCTAACAAGTCCCTACTGATCCCACTCGAGGACTATAAGAGGCAGAGTCAACTGGAGGGATGGAACTATGCAGAAACTCAAGGGGCTTTCTGGGAATCATTTTGCATCGGGGGATCTTGGGATGACCCATAGTGTATGTCACCTTAAATGGGCAATGTTATGCAAACCAGTGAAAGCACGGTAGGTAAAACAGTAGGAGAAATAAGGTTACCAAAGCCTCAGAAGTATGGGTGTGAGTGCGAAGGGGCAGCTCCACTCCTTTGCCTTGGTGGGCAGAGGGTTGGCAGACCGACAGGATGTACATGTATGTGAGGCCCAGGCTTGAACACCCGCCAGCTCTTGCTCTCTGCCCCTCTGAGCCTTTTCTTGAGGCACTGACCCATCATCAGCACCTTCAACACCTCCAAGCAGAAACACTCTTCTTAAAAACATCCACTGGTTCACCAGCTCCTTGGGATCCAGTCAAAGTCCTCAGCGAGGCACACAAGGCCCTTCATGAGCCACCGCACCCACTTTCCTAATCTCATCTCCTGTGCTTCCCCTGGCTATGCCAGCCAGGAAAAACTGTGGCAGACTTTAACATGGGCAAAAAGATTACTGGGTGTCCATTCAATCGAAGGCTGGGCATTTTTCTAGCACACCCTTCCAGGGTCCACACCTTTCATCATCTTGAACTGAGCTGATTGAGCTATTTCACAACTCTGTAAGTTGTAGAAAACTGAGCATAATGCAATTAATGATTCTTCCTAGAGATGTGAATGAATTTTATCAGGTGGAGATGCAACTGATTTCCTGCCTCCTGTGGAAGAGGCCAGTTTTCCATCTATTAGCAAATTCATTTCAGCATTCCTGATTGCCTATATATGTTGCCTGCTCTTTGGATTCTTCTTTGAGCTGGCTTTTACATCTAATTAATTATTGAGTTGAATAAAATCTTTGACATGTATTCATTATATGTTTGCACCAGAGTCATAATTTTAGTTTTTGAAAACATTATCCTTTAATATGCCATAAAGATGCAGCCACATTGAGTATCTCCAGGTTCTTCAAAACAGTCTTTATTTTTCACTTTTGCCCTTGCTGCTGTTTCTATTGAGAACCCTAAACTGTTTTTTCCCCACTTTCAATACCCAGCTCACATATCACCTCCTCTGTGCAGCTTTCCTCCTCTCCCTGTGCAGAGTTAATAATTGCCCACCAAGCAGTTCACCCACTGTAAATTCTAGCATGGGTCCCATTGTGTGTAAATTATTTTTATAGGTCTATTTCCACCATTAGATCTTGGTCGCTCCATAACATACACTGTCCTATTCACCTTTGGACCCCTGTGCCCAGCACACCACCTGGCAAAGCGGCACTCCACTGGTGCATGTGAGAATGAATGCTGAAGTAGTAGCCAAAAGTGTGACTTTTCAATGTTCA